AGAAGGAGTTTCCCGTACCGAGGAGGACCTGTGCCGAGAATGGCTGCGTCTGTGCCTTCTATCTCTCTGCCTGCGACTGCTTCGCCTGCTGCGACCACTACGCCCAGAGGACTTGCTGTAGTGGTGCCAGTCAAGATCTCTCTCCTTGTAGGTGTCATCATAACCGTCATCGTTGCAGGCCACATCCAGACTGTGTTCGCAGGTGTACTTCTCCTGAGAATCCAGCCTCTGGTTTAGACTGCGGGCCTCCAAGTAATGCCTAAAATAAAATAAATTGATAAGTATCAACACAAAACAAGCACTTGAAAAGGCAAGTCGAGTCAAGTGCAGGTCAGGTTCTTGACAGATCGAGCACTAAAATCAAGACTGGATGTGATGGTGCTAATGGTCAGCCTCCTGCCTGACACCCTATCCCTGAACCTTTTATGTAACATTTGCTAATAGCGACGTGCTGATTTACAGCAACCAACTACCCTGAATCTAATTCAATGAGTAGCTCAGTTCCAACATTCAGTTTATAAAGAGATTAACGCGGCAGAAATAGTCGCACGATGGGTCCTAAAGCCAATATGTAACTCCACACGTTTGGGCAAATACTCATACTTAGCCTGCCCTCCCCAAAAAAGTATTTAGTGTTAGGCATTGAAAGTTGATGGTGCGTAATATAATCCCTGATTTATCTTGGTACTCGGGGAGGTAAACACTTTAGTGAGCCCATATCTGCAAATACAAAACAGCTGATCAAGCATATGTATGGCAGCAAATTTAAATCTGTTTAGCCTTTTTCTCACGTAAAACTTTGGTCTTTAACTTCACCTTACCCTAGGACATCAAATGCATTTTCTAAAAACTTGGAACAAACTAAACCCTGCATGCCATGTTCACACCCTAAAAAGACCAAGAAAGTCATGGTGACTTAGCACCCAGTTGGTATCAGTTGTCTGCCAAGAAGAAGTCTGCCTCTCTACAGAATTAAAATTAGAGTGGATCAGGAAACACCTGATGCAACTATATGAACCTACGTCTACGAAAAGATCTGCATTACCACACGGAAACCGCAGAAGGGTTTACTAAATGAATAGATACTACGCTGTTACTCTGCTGAGCTAAGAATTAAATGCACACACAAAAGTACCTAAACTTAATAGTGCATTGAGTGGTGTACGGATCCATGTTTTCAATACGAAAGGTGTTTCCTTTGGAGGAACCATTTGAGAAATTTCTTAGATTTAATTACACTAAAAGAAAGGCAGAATATGAGTTTCAAACATAATTTTTGGCAGTAAATATCAATATATACTTTAAGCCCAATAATAGATTTCCTCCAACAATATTGCAGGCTATAATTTCAGGATTTTAAAATTCTACTAAAATTTCAATCTGCCTTTGTCTTTATTTTTAATATAGACAAATATATATAACGAACCACATAAACCATAAACCAAAGTTTTGAAATAAACCTTTCAGCGCTAAACACTGCAGAAATGCAGCTATAAAAAAAAAAGTGTATGTACTGTTTCACTACAGATAATAGGCAAAAACACAAAGCATGTATGAAAAAGCAACCACCTGCTAGAGGCAAAACCTGCTAAAAAGCACAAGCACAGGAATGTCATTTCAGCAACGCCCTCCTGATGTCTTTCAGTCCTTATAATGTAAACTGACCTCTAACTGGCACACACTGTGCTTTAAAGTTGAATCACCTCAATGGCTTAGTATTTTAACATGAGTAAGTGGTTTTATCTGCATCAGCTACTTTAAAATTAGAATTAATCTGAAATACTTGCTAATATACAAGTAAGGCCAGTTAAAAAAAAAAAAAAAAAGGGAAAAAAAAGTGATTTAATAGGTTTTCTGTTCTGTTTCATAAAGCCAATACTGCCCTCAGGCGTTCATACAAAGAACAACTGCTCATCCATCTCTGTTGACGGTAAATTGAAATGTGGATAGGCAACTCTGGTCAATGTGACTTTGTAAGAGCAGACAAATAAGTAAAAGACAGTTCTTGGAAGAGGAAACAAGTTTGTTCTTAGGCGTGTGAATATGCATTTGGGCTCTACTTCCTATTTTACAAGCACTTATGAACACAAATTGGTTTCAGCTCAAATTGCTTCATCAGTAGCTTGTTTATTGCAATACTGAGATGCAACATACCAGTAGTAAAATGAATCACAATGCCAGTTTGTGGGATTTTTATTTTATTAAATTCAACATGTCTGTTGAGACTATACCCGTCAACTGATCCTAAGATGACTCTAACCACAGAGATATTTACCCGTCATATGCCTTGTTGTATCGAGGAGATCTTCTGGATCTATTCTCTCTGTCACTGCTAGGTGAATCTCGTTTTCTGCGTTTGCGACACTCCATCCTGTCTTCCCAGCCGTACTCGTCTAGCCAGACGCCTGGGGAGCGCATTCGCTTCGAGTGACGCATCTGGGGAATGTGGAAACAAAAATTTACAAAGTTAGATAATCTGGAATTTATTCATCATTTGTGTGTTACAATTTTAATGCTATTTAATATCAGGAGGTTGAACTGCACAGCTAAAGCAGAAAAACAACAACAACAACAAAAAAAACAAAACAATAGTCCCACAAATTATTAAAAGACCAAGTAACAAGCACAACTTGAGCATCCAAAATATAATTCATTAATGCGAATTGCAACAGACAGATTTTTACAACTGAACCTTTTCGGTACTTTCATAAAGGAAGTCCTACAGTGGCTTCAACAGCAGGGAGGACTTGCAGTTTTGCTTCTAATGGGGGAGTTGAACTGCACTGAACACCACCCTAATGTCGACGCAAAAACTACCATCCTTATACAATCGAAAATATGTAAAAAAAAAATAAAATAAAAAAAAAGAAATTATATATATATATATATATATATATATGACGTAATGGTGAAGTAGCCAAAACTAATCTGAAGAAACACAAAAACTTCCCAACATCACAATTTCAAAAACTGCATCGTCACTGATACAATCCTCAACGATCGTATGCTAGTATAAAGAGTGAAAAGTTTAACCTTGAAATTGTTTACGACAACAAAATGTTTAGGCCTTGGATACAAGGCCGGTGTCAACTGACGTGATCTCAAAATTACATTTATAATGCCCAGAAGTGTTTGTATTTAAAAAAAAAATCTTTCCTTGCAAGGTTTCAACAACAGCAACTATGCAATTCACAGTTGATCAAACATAAATTTTCATAAAATAACTAAAGGAACGGCGGCCTACTGCAACGTTTTGTTGGAGCAGTAACTTTTCGTCAGTAGATCGTATAACAGAAAATACCAAAAAATTATATTTTCACCCTCCGAAGTGTTAACTATAATCTTCTTAATCTGCACAGTAATTTTCAAATTAAAGCAATTAGTTTTAAAAGACATAAAAAAATAACCTAACAAAGAACGGTTATGCAACGGCAGAGAATCAGCCATGTTGGCGAGGCGTCGAATTTCACAAAAACCAAACGGTCGAAATTTGACTTTAAATGTGTGGTAAACTGCGTCTAATCACTATGTGTAGAGAATATATTACCTTTATTTATAGCTGTGAGGTTCGAATGGAAGTCAATACCAGTTGGATAAGGATTACGAGCGAAGAATCTGGAAAAACGTCTGCGTCTACCAGTCCTCAAAGATGGCGACTTTCTGTAGAAGCTGATGGAACTTTCTTCTTCACCAAATATCGTGACGTAAGACACATAGCAGCAGCCCACCGCATTGCCTTATGGGAAGTAGAGTTCTGAACAAATAAGTGGATAAAAGTTATTGTATTTACACATTTTAGCCTTGAACACCCATTTTTGAGCACAGTCACGTTCACATCTGAGTAAAGTTTTTGTGCTTCCGTTATATTCTCTGCTTTGGTTGAACAGAAAGCGGATTTTCCACCCGTATTTCATCCTAAAATTATTAATACTATGATAAAACTCTTAAATAGCCTTTTCTTACACATTGGCTACAAAACACATGAAGAAAGAATAAGATATTTGTGAAAAGACTCAAGAACAAATTATGTTTTAAAATGTTCATTCATTTATGCTTTAGTACCTTACATTTTATGTAGCAATTTTAAACAGCTCATTTATCTTGACAGGCATGTTTGTGGTCTAAGGGAAGAAGTCGTAAACAAAAAGAGACAAGGACAAAGAGTCGGTAGAGACAATGAAAACAAGGAGAGAACAAGGAAAGTCCATGTGATATATTTTGAAACCTTCCTTCTCCTAAACTTAATAGGAATAGAACGTCATATCATTGGAGTTATACCTAAACTTCTGGTAATGTTCTCTTAGATAAAGTTAAATTGTACTTTATCACAGAGTTATCACTGACTGTCTTTGTCTCCTGTTAGTATTTATCTGATGAGCGGAAACATTTAAAAATAACACAAAGGCAAACAGATTAAATCTGTAAGAGGGCTAATACAAATCTGGTTTTGGAATGGATAAAGCGGATAAAGATTATGCTTCTGAAGTAACCCTGACTTGAACTATATAAAATATTTATACCTTTAAAACCTTTAAAACAAACCCTTTAAAACAAAGTCGCAGAAAAACAATCCATTTAAACTAATTTACTATTTCTCATAAAAGGAATGCCCAAATGCGCATACAGAATAAAACAGGTTTTTAAAGCCTACAAATAGGGATCTGTTTGAAATTCAATCTTGTAAAATGCATTTAGCCTTGTATTAATGGGGTGTATATATTTCAGAATGCATAGCCTACTTGGACCATGGGTGGATCTGCAATGAATTCAATTTGTTCATCCACTTGTTTATTTTCTAAAACACAGAAGTTGTTTATTATGTTATCACCCTTCTATACTTGCTGTGCTTTTATGATGAGCCCCCATGAGCATTTTTTTCGTGTAATTAAAATTTTTTTCTTATGTGAAAATATGCTTGTGTAACAACATCTTTCAAAACTATGTGAATATATGGCACAGCTTTATCTGAAATCGAATAATCTTTCATTGTCTTTTCTACAGTCATGTTCCACACACTCTTTAATCACAAAAAGAAAACATAACACAGAAAGGAAGTTCGTCATCATCGTAAAATTACTGTAAACAAGCCTACCAGGCTGTGCGCAGGGTTAAAAAAAACCCACGTTGCATGAACAGGGAATTGTGGGTACAATATGTCTGCGCCCTATCTTTAACCTGATAACATTTTTATAGTGGAGTTTGTCAAAGATTCCTGTTATTAGAACAGGTTTGTTGTGGCTTTCATTGAGAGGATAATGTCTGAACACGCAGAGCAGAAGGGCGGACCGGGGTTGTCCAGGGCAGCGATTGCCGAGATGCTGTTGAAGAACTTTGAGAAGCTGCCCGACTCTGATCAGAAGTTATTCTCGTACGGACCTCTGTACCTGGGGGGAAACGCCGCGTTTGCGGGGCTGATCGCCAACAGCCTGTACCGGAGGGCTCTGAACGTCCAAGCGGCGCGCATCGCCTCCAACCTGCCGATGGCCGTGCTGCCCTTCCTCACCGCCACCGCCCTGTACAACGCGGTGGTGTCGCAGCCGCTGCTGTCCGGGGATCTGAACTGCCCCACCTGCTCCCTGATCAGAGGCGCGCTGGTCGGGGCGGTCGGTGGTGGAGTCTACCCGATGCTGCTGGCTTTGCCGTTGAATTTCGGCCTTGCATCCAGATACAGCACGGCTCCGATGCCAGAGAAGGGCACAATGCTGCGGTACTGTGTGGACGTCTCCAGATCCGTCTTTAAGAAGATGAGAGCAGTTTTCCTGCTGCAAGCTTTCTTTGGCACCTACCTGGGCTCCAGGCATTTCGAAAGTTACGCCAAGCTGGCCCAGATAACCTTCAGCAAGGAGGAAGAGCTGCAAGAGTGAAAGGACTGGACTGAGAATAATCACCTCATTTTATACTGGTGAAAATCTGATTTACCTCTGGGTGTTTCCCAGAAAATAAAATGACATGCGAACTAATATTTATCACAGCATCGTCTGAAATCATTTTGTCACATCGTAAAACTGAAATGAGCCTCCCTACAACAAACAAACTCCAGGAAATTCTGATAATGCTTGAAACAGATGACCAGAGTCACACAAAGCTTTTAAGTTTTGTTTTTTGTTACGACTGTGACAGTGGACAAAAATATAGTTTAGTGTTTATAAATGGCGTTTTACTCTCCATATGTTGCTGTTCTCCGTTTCAATATGGATCCCCTATTGTGTCCAAAATAAAGTAAATGATTGATGGTTTTGTGTACCCTGTTAATATTTGTTATGCAAAAGCAATTAAATGGACATGTACGGATAAACATATATAAGCTGAATAGCTTCACCCCACACCTTTGCAATCTATACAACACATGAATTATTGCTATTTGACTTCATTTTGAATCTCATTGTAGTTGGCGTGTTGATTGACTGTAACAACTATAATTATTTTGAGTGTGTGTGTGTGTGTGTTTTTTAGCTCGAATAAATAAATCTTAATCAGACCGCATCACACAGGGAAGAGTAGGCATTTGTTTACTTTTATTAAAGGCTTTTTAGGAACCGCCCACAAATTCTGCACTGATGTCAAAGCCAAAGGTGTCCCTGTACCAAGAAGGACAACTCCCGACCCCTCACATACAGTATTTATGCGACAAATAAAACCTGATGGAGTTGGCAGTCTGATAACACTTATAAAGATTAAAACTGATGGCAGGTACTGCAGGTGATTGTCATTTAATACATGTTCAACAGCACAGGCAAATGATTTATTTAAATTACCATGGATGGCAGGTTTGACATCACACCCTTGTTCTTTCTACAAGCTTATTGGGGCAAAAGGCTACAGGAAAAAAGGTTATTAGATGAGAAATAAGTTGGGAGGAGCTAAACCAGTTTGTTATAGACATGGCAAAAGGTGCTTTTCAGGGAAAACACTGACATCAATCAATAACAAACTAAATCAAGCCAATAATTACAGTGCACCCACTCCTTTCCTCACAGCAAAATTCACAATTTCACAAACAATAATAATAATAATAATAATAATAATAATAATAATTAATAATAATTAAAAACAACACTTCAAGTCAAATAAATTGTCATGATAAGCAGTGACTCATATGGAACAGGTACATTATCCTTCTCTTTAACGCAACAGCGCATTTTCACTGTAAAGTACTTTTTTAATTTTTTTTTTTAAACACTAATGCCCCCTGTGAAAACACCTGACTTAGCATGCCGTCGGACTTCATGTTCTGCAAAGGGAAAGTCACAATAAAAACTTTACATCTGTCAGCACAGAGGCCTCCAATAAATATACGAGACAACTGAACATCAGTCAGAGAGAACTTCCTGAGGAGCAGAAAGATGAGGGCCGAACTATCATCTGTACACGGCCTCTACAGCTGACCTATAACTTCTGCAGTTACACTATTACAGTAGGTTTCTGAGGATATTAATGGCACGATAACATTTCAAAAGAGTAAACACTTTAAAAAGGTTCATCGTCCCCGCCCCGTTTGTTCCCTAAAACAAAACGAAACAAAAAAAAAAATGAACAGGATGAAACATGGTCTCCAGTCACTCCAGTGCAACAGACGCGAACACATGAAACACAGCTTTCCGCAGGCACAGCCACGACGTCTTTTCGTTTCCGCCTCAGCCGGGAATTTTAAGTGTAAAAAAAGGGCTAGCCAGCGCCCGTTACATCACTCTGTTTTGTTACAGTACTTTACAGATAAAAGTTAAATACTTAAACAAGCTTCGAATAAAAGAAGGAAATGGAAAAGGAAAGTGAGAGCAGAGGAAGGTACACGAGACGGCATCAGTAGGAATTACTACAAAGTGGGTTTCCCTGTAATCGTAGTCTCTACAGTAGTAAACTTCTCCACAGAGTAAACACACATAAAGGGAAGGAGGAAGGAGATGCGGTGTCCCTCTCCGACGTACCAGAGCTTATAGCTAGTATCCAAAAGGAGACAGTTTATTCCAGTTTTCGTAGCTTAACATTTCACTTTTTTCCTTTCTGAACATTTTTTTTTTCTTCTCGATGAATCCTGTTCATCATGTTTGTTCCGCTTTATTTTCTTCTTCTTTTTTTTTTGCTCTTGATGAAGTTTCTTTGTATTAAAACACCAAAGTACCAGCTTCAGGTTCCTTCACAGTCCAGTTTAGTGCAAAGAGAACACACACATCTCCTCGTCTGGTGGTGGGAGGGTTAGATCCCACCCCGCCTCATGTCTTTGCCAGAACATTCGACCTGAGGAGACAAAAGAAGATTATGAAACCTTATAAGAAGTGTTCTTTATTGGGGTTTACCATGCTGGTAAATTAAAATTTTATTACTTTAAACCTAAATCTGCTTGGGGTAAGAATAATTAGTGGTCTGCACGTCATTAAGCCTCTGGTGCAATGCTAACTTCCATCTGAGAGAAATTACTCTTTAATTTACCCTCTTTGCTCATTTTTTTCAGCAAAATTGCTAAAACGTTTTGGCGGTTATTCCAGTTGCCATATACATTAGTAGTCATTTGAATCATGTGTGTTGAACGAGGAACACATCCAAAGATTTCCCAACCCTTCTCGGCTGCAGCTCAGTGAGGAAATTAGCTGTTCCGCAATGATAAAGTTGTAGGTTTGATTCCAGCCGCCTCTGTTGTCATATGTTCATGTGCTCCTGCGCGAGGCTCTAAACACCAAGTTACCTACAGCTGTGTGAATTGTTTGTGACTCAGGCTGGGTTAGTGTGGATCATAGGCAACAGTGCATTGAGCTGAGTTGTGAGTAGGACAAGAAAAGCAACATATAGGTTTGTCTAAGCAGCTTCCCACCTGAGTGCTTTCCACCTGTCCTTCTCCACCTGGTTCTCGGGACTTTCACTTTCATATGATGCAAGGTAGAGTCCTGGGGAAGGGCAAGAAGAGAAAGAAATGTATTTAGAGCATTATGCAGCTAAATAAAAAAAATAAATAAATAAAAACTGTATGCAGCCAAGTAACTCAGTTTGCAAGCTGCAGCCTTAAAGAACATTTTAATGTTCAGAGAGTTAGCGTGTTATTCTTTGCTTTTAGCTCTGAAATACAAATTACACCATGTTTAATATTTGTTGACGTAAAAAATATTTGCTTACAATTAAAAAAATTTAATTGCGAGCAGATCAATTAAACTTTCTGCTTCTTGGATTTTTTTAGCACAAGATTTTGTTATTTTGTCTATGCTTTAGTTCAAGAAGAAAAACACAATATGCATTTTTATTCTTTTTTTTTTGCTCGATAAAAGTGTTTGCAACCATTTAACAGAACAGTAACATTTTATTTGAAGGGGTGTGCATAAGACTGACATGACGCTGTCATAAACATGACATAACACCTGCTACAAACATGAATGAGGCTTCATGACAATAGTTTACAACTGGGTGTCATGAAGTGTCATGCGGTAAATAATGGTAGTTTTAATGCAAAGTTGCACTAAAAGTTGCATTTAAGTCGAATGAAATTGTAAGCTTTGCATTATTTGGTAAATAATTGCATTTTTTAATGCGAAGTTGACAATTTTAATGGTTTTTTTAATGCATATTTCAGTGAAACTTTGCATTAAAAGTGTCACTATTTACAGAATCGTCATGATGCCTCCTTCATGTTTATGACAGTGTCATATCAGTCTTATGCGCACCCCTTCAAATAAAGCGTTACCAACAGAACAATAGGTCTGGGATGTTACAATAGTAACAAATAAATGTCAGTCAAGAAATGATCCGGGTCTCAGAGTGTTAATCGCTGACTCAGGAACATCAAATTTCAAATTTCTCTTTTATTCTCACACTTAAAAGAGAGCGTGAGAAAACAGCGCTGTCCGCTTGCGTAACCGAAATGTTTCTCACCGTCCTCGCTGAAGATGGGAGCGGTGTGGAGGTAGTGCAGGATGGCGCGATCCTCCTCAAACGGACACTCCACCTGTTTCCACGTCATGAACTCTCCAACTTGTCGAGCCAACTCCACAAATTTCTAAACGGCAAACCAGTCAGACGGAAATATTGAGTCACGTGGAAGAAATTGAATGGAAAAAAAAAAAGGTCGGGCGGGGAAAAAAAGCTCACCTCGAAGTTGACGTGGCCGTTGGGCAGTCGGTTTGCGCAGCCTTCATTCAGGAAGTAGATGTCTTTAATCAGCAGGCTGAAGAAGGGAATCACAATCTGAGGAGGACGAAGACAGGGACACAGTTTATATTACGATTAATTCATGACCAAAGTAAACTTCCTGAATATCAGCAGTCGTGCTGATGCCTCACCCTTTCTCTGTTGCTGTTGGCAGTCTGAGAGCGATGGGCAGCTCCCCTCAGGGCGGTCCTGTAGTTATAAAAGTTTCCTGTGGGATCCATCTGATGCTGCAATAGCAAACGGCAACAAAACAGTCAGCTTGAAGGTAGTACCTGCTTATCTCAAGAAGTCGGTGAAAGGATCTGGGTTTACCTCAAGAATAAAAAATTTGGCAGTTTTGGTTTTGCTCCAGGTCTTCTTCAGTCGTGACACAGGAGTCATGTTCATGCCAGCTGCAGAGGAAATTAATTTTATTATCTAAAAATCGAGGATAGTAAGCAACATAACTGTCCATTTGAACGATTCCCAAAATCCAGTGAGCAAACAAAAGGAAAATAGAAATCTAATACATTTTTGCTGTTACCACCTTCCTAGCATAAATACTTATAAGTACAGGATTTTAGTCAAATATGTGATCCACCAATTATAACAAACAGGGATGAATGGTCATGAATTTCACACCTGGGTGAGAATTCATCCTGAAACAAATAGCTGTGTCGTTAGCTTAGCCAATCTCTGCTGCCAAAGTGAGGTTGTGGAAGACAGTTTTGAGGGACAAGCATTTTTTTGTTGTTGTTTACAGGCCAAGCTAAAACCTTTGCATAGAACTGAATGTACTATAAAACCGGGAACTCACAGATGATCGCCATCAGGGAGTTAAAGTTGCCAATGTTGAAACACTCTCTGGCCACATCGATGAAGAACTCAATCACTGTGGCTCTCTGCTTCTTCTTGGCTGGCTGAAAGAAGTTCACAAAATACATTCATTTTCCTTTAAATGTTCTCAACTTTGCTTGAAGTGTATATTAACATTTTCCGACACAAGACATTGTAGCTATGCAAAGTATCCACAAGGGGGCAGTAATGCTCCGTAAGACACCCATTGGTTCGGTGTTCATGTATTCGAGAAAATTTAGAAAAATTGAGCAAATTACAATTTTTAGGATAAACATATGAGTATTCTGACATTATATTCATATAATATAGCTACTGAAATTCATGGAAAAAAAATGCTCCTCATCAGAACCACATTAAGCGGTATTTTTTTCTAAACTCTAGAGGCGATCGTCATCATTCTCCCTCACCATGCAGATTTCTGTTGCTACCAGGTAACACAGTCTGTTGAACCATCTGACGTAGGCCTCAAGGTTGGAGGTTTTCTTCTTCTGCTCACTGAAAGATGGCTGCTGTTGACACACACACACACACACACACATGCACACACACACACACACACACAAGATGTGAGCCACTACAGTGATTTGCACCAACACTAATTAGCTTCCTATGTACACGCTGACCCCCTCTGAGAGTGTGAATGGCAAAGACTGCGAGCGGCGAGTACACACGACTGGACTGGTGGAGAGCAATGGAAAATAACCAGCACAGGATCAGCAAGGGGAAACAGGAGTTCAAGAGATAAGAAAGGGAAAAGAAATCTCCATGGTTACATCAAAAAGTCCAACATTAGATCGAAGAACAGCTTCATGTTTGTTTGCTGTTTCATACAACATTCACTGACGGTTGACATACATATATAAATTTGAGTGTACTGGACTATCAATACAGTCTTTGTGTTGTCTTATTTGTTCAAGGAGTTCATTTAGAGACTCATTTAAGATCAAAATAACCTTCCAGTGTTGATGATGTTACTCATCCTTGGACTAATGGGATTAGATTCAAGAATGCATATTTCGCATTACTGATAATGAAGGTTCAGTTACATATATTCCTCAGTCAAACTCAGAAAAATCATTCGTCCAGTTCAAGATACATATAACTGTTTTAAATCTGACACCTAAAATTGCCCTTTTTCAATGTCTTGGGGGGGGGGGGAAATCATATTTTTCTAAGTCAGTGTAACATTGTGAGTGTCTAAAATTATGGTTAATCACTAATCAGCAAATAATCTGCTTTTAATCAGTGAATACTCTGGTTTGCACAGACAAGTTTTAGCAATCATGGCTTACTTTTATGTGCGGGAATCCAAATTATAGCTCTGCATGTTTTTTTTGTTTTTTTTCCCCAAAATATATAAGAGTAAATCACTTTTTGGAATGACATTCATGATAAAAGAAATGTACTATATTGTAAAAAAAAAATTGTTTGTCTTTATTCACACACATATAAACATATTTATAAATACACATCCCAAAAGCTTACCTGTGTTCCATCCAGAGGGTCTTTCTGAACAAAGGCTTGGACAAACTCCTCCGGACCAATATGGCTTAAATGCTCCTGCAAAACAGACAGTCATGTTTTATGGATTTTCATCAGTTTTTCTAATTGTATTTATTTATTACAAAACATAAATAAATAAATAAAAAAATCCACCCAAAATGCTTAAATACATTAAAGCCACAACAACACGGAGTGTAAAACTAGGCACAGACACATAGGGCTGCAGCCATCTGATTAATAAGTCTTTCATTTCAGTAATGGAGGCGAATCAATAGAAGGAAGTAATGACTCACTGATGTGACTCACTGCTATCATATTTTCAACGGGTGACACTAGGGACAATATCCACTTCTATTAAAAGATAGTGGCAAACTCGCAATCATGTGCAACTCGAAATGACTCAACAGGCCCATCACGCCTCGAGATCAAATTCAGATCTGATAAGGAACCCGACCATCGGTTGTTAGTACCGGCATAACGTTTAATTCATAAGACATCATAAAATCCAGAACGTGTGAGCTGTGCACGCCTACTTGTCTGTCTCTGCCTCTCTTCTTTGTGTGTGTGTGTGTGTGTGTGTGTGTGTGTCAGAGTGTGAAGCTGTCAGGTCATATATATCTGCAGTGGTTTTATCCCCTTTGTTCGCAGCCCCGGGCATTTTGCTGACTTCTGGGGTGATGTCACCACACAGACAAGGGTGCAGGCTTACTCAGGCATGCTGAAAAAAAAAAAAAAAATCCACTGCGGAAGTGCAGCCAAACGTGTTAATGGACGCTGCAGTTTTTATTTCTATGATATATTGTTGTATATATTTTATTACACGTGGTTCCTATGAACCTTGTTTTTTCTTTTTTTTTTCCGCCATGCCTCCTAGTCCCTTTCCTTTTAAACGATTCTTGTCCAAAGCTCAGGACCCCGAGCCCTCACGCTCCCGAGTATCCACTCTCCTCGTTACCGTCTCCTCCCCTGACCTCTGTCTGACCCCTCCGTACCGCTCGGCCTCCCTCAGGACTCACCAGCTCCACGTGGGTGAGCTGCTGGGCCAGCGTGTAGGGGTCGTTGCAGATGGAGAGCATGTCCTTCTGGATGGGTGGGGGCTTGGTCTTGAAAGCCACGAGCTTGTCGGAGATGGAGGAGGCGTTGAGGGAGACTTTGACGATGCTCTCTTCCCCCTGGCTCATCAGGGCCAGCCTCTGGCTCAGCTTCTGCAGCATCTGGTTCAGGGTTTTCCAGTACGCCTGGAGAGGAGAGGATCAGGGAGGGCAGGCAGACGGGCAGATGAGTGAGGAAGCTATCAATAACGTCTTTGATGAATAATTTATTAATGGTGTTGTAGGACAGTGATGGGCGTGAATCAAAATGACTAGAGGGCCACGTAGTGGGGACTCTGAAACAGCGTGGCGTGTTCAAATAAAAATCACAGCTCTTAAACGTTTTCTCACTTCGAAACCAAAAACTCAGTTTATTCGGTCAACAGATTTTCCACCTGATGTTTTCATGGATCTGATAAATGCTTTCTGTGCCGAGCTTGTCGCGAAAGTCTCGCGTTTACGTCTCTGCCGCTTTAAAATGAAGCACAACTCTGTGTTGGTCTCTCGCATAACATTCGTAGAAGTTTGAGATTTTATTGTAACAAAATGTGAGATAGTTACAGTAGCATAAATACCGTTGCAAGACATCGTAGTTTCGAGGAATTAAGATATAAAAGCACACGCTAATTTAGCAAAGAAATAAAATACACAGAAAACATGAAATAAACCGGAGGAGAAGCTCAAGAACGACAAAGCTAAAATGTTACTCGTTGTTTCACTGTTTCAGTGATCTGCTGGGCGTGTTGTGTTCAAGAACGCCTGAATCTCGGAGCCCCTCCTTGCAGATGGCTCCACGCTGAGGCCATTAGGTCAGTCTGTCTCACAAATGACCCAGAGCCACAGCTCCCACATGCATGCACACGCCCATGCTGAGGACAGCCAGCTGCAAATAGCAGCGCATTCATCACCACTTGCCCAGCCTCCCTCCTCCTCCTCTTCCTCCTCTGCTCGGAGTTCATCACTCTCCTCCTTCACCTTTTTTTTTTCTCTTTCCTCTCTGTGGCTCTGCATCCCATTTCTCCACCCATCTCCCTCCCTCTTTTCTCCCTCACAGCCACTCCTTTAATAGCCTTCCTTCCTCCCTCAGCTCCACTCTCCTGCAGTGTAACATTGTACAACAGCTGGGCTCCTCAGCTGACACTGGCTCTCTGACTTTTTCTGTCAGGGAGGATAAGAAATCTTCCTCTTCATTAATTCTACTACATCTGTTTGTACGACAACTCCTCCTCACTCCAAATTTGTCGAATATGGATAATGAAGCCAAAGGTTCCCTCTAAATTGTGACATTTTTTGACATGCAGGGAAGCAAAAAAAAAAAAAAAAGTCCCAGTGTGTCAGTGACGGTTCCCTGAGGACATCTACCCTCAGGGTGAAGTCTTCTGGAGAGCGTGATTCAATATTCAACTTTTCGACTTTTTTTTTCAGGCTCCAAACGCTAAACACTGACTCTGTCAGTCTCCGATGTGCCAAAGTCAACTGCGGATCAGTCCCCTAGCTCACCGAAAACAGAAATTCAATTAAACTGTGACTGCAGGAGTTTTTGGTCTGGGTGTAAGATGAATGAGGATTATAAGAAAAAAAAAAAAAAACAGACATAATGGCATCAAGTCTTTTTTTTTTTTTGTCTGTCCTCGATACATAGAGCCTTGCAGTATTCAGAGCCAATGAACGTTTTCACATTTGGTCTCATTTGCTCCAAGGTTCAGAGTATTTTACAAGGATTTTATGTGATAGACCAACACAGGGTAGAGTATAATTATGCAGAAAATTAATTCATGATATTCACAGATTTCAAGAAGTGTTGTGTGAATTTGCATCCAGCTCCCCTCCCCCCAATACTGCTAAATAAAATCCCATAATAAGGAAAAATCCATCGATCCGTCCATCAGGTGCCCATCTCCAGGGGACAAGATGGACAGACCGGCAGTCCGTCAAGGGGCAACACAATCATGCACACACTCATATTTAAGAGCAATTTAGAGAGACCAATCACCGCAACAGTCATGTTTTTGGACTGGGAGGAAGCCAGAATACCCAGAGAGAACCCATGCATGCACAAGGAGGAGAGCATGCAAACAGCATCCAAAAAGACCCCAGGGTCAGATACAAACCCAGGACCTTCTTGCTGAAAGAAAACAGTATTCCCCCATGCAGCCATAAGTAAAAATGACCATTTTAAATTGCTACAACATCTCCGTAGAAAGATAACGTTAGCGTACCTCATCACATGGAGCTATCCTGTGGATGATGTCTTTGAGGTGACCGACCATCTTCTCGTCCCTGAAGTCTGATGGGAACGTTTCCGTCCATTCTGTCAGCAGCTGCAGGATCTTGGGACCAAACTTGCGTACCTTAGCCTGTCGGTAAGCAAATAAATATGTAAAAAAAAAACAAAAAAAAAAAAAACAACTGCTCTTAAGATTCCCTGCTCTTCAGGGTCGTGCACAAACAGGAGTGTGTAAAAACGTGTGGCGCGGCGCTGACCGTATCGAGCGGGCTCTGGTCCAGCTGCTGCTGCTTGATACACAGCTCACACACCCTGGAGAGCAGCTCCGAGGGAGGAATGAACAGACGGGCGCTCAGCAAGAAGGTAAACACATAGGCTTTCTGTGAAAAGAGACAGGAAGACATTAAGCGAGACGCTCCCACAACAGCATCTATAAAAGCAGCCCTGCTGGCTGTAATTAAACTAAGCAGGGACTCGGGGCTAATAATCAAATTAGCACGCCTGTCACTGAGACTGTAAACCGAAACAACTCTCTCAGGCCGCACTTCAGTCTTTCAGGGAGATTTGTATCTGAAAGCTGATCACAGAGAGGGTTTTAATCAAGTTGGCACGGAGACGTACGGATGCAGGGTCGTCAACGAACTGAGAAAAAAGACGAAAAAGTTTCCTGTCATCGGGGGGGGGGGGGGGGTTTGTGAACTCTGCCAAACAAAGTTAAAAGATATATTAGGAATTTAGAGCACAGAGCTTTGTGTTGCTGAATCACTGATTCAGGACATTTTCACATTTTAGCACATTAATACCATAAACTTCAATGAATTGAGTCTGGAGTAATGCTGGGCCATGGCATCAACCTAAAAAAGTTCAAACAGAGTTCATTTCCTCAATGCAGTATTATGTAATCATTTTTTGGCCTCTCCGTGTTTCTCACTTTTCCTAAACCTTAGTCATCTCACTTTCTCAGTATTTAGCCTTTCAACTATTTAACGCTCTTCTGGGGATTAGCAAGACGTCATTTAATTCAATAAGACAATTCTTGTAATTCGGTTTACCTCGGGGTAATAGTCCGCAGTGGGCACCAGGTTCTGGATCAGCGTCTCCAGGGAAGCAGAGGTGATAGGAGGCCCGTCAGCCAGACAGGCTGCTGGCCCCGGGCCCTCCCGAGGGGCCCCGTCCTCTTCCTCCTCCCCAGGCTCAGCGCAGGCCAGGTGGGGGCTGAAACCACTGGAAGTGGTGAACATGGTGCCTGAGCACACAGTCTGGGGCATTCCTGACTGCAACACAAACACAGAAAACACATTGTGAGTGAAGCAGAATGAGGAAGAGGAATAAAGGAAATACGTTTCATGTAAATGCAGGCCCGTCTCCACATGTACCTTCCTAGTAATAACAACAAATGCTAACTAAAACATTGTGCTGTTAGATTTGTGGACATTCCCATTATCTACAGTAAATCTGGTGTCCGAAAAAGGGAAGTGAGTCGGACTGAAGATAAACTCCGATTCACGGAATAGTGAAGAATAAATGATGAGCCACTCAGCTCAGCATCCTGATTAGATCTCCTCTGCTTTTTTGTAGCCCTGTGAGATTTTATTCATAGGAGCAAACAGCTGCCAAAATTGCTAGAATAATTTTGGTTCACCTGAATGAAATACTGACAGCTATGTTGCACTGAATTCCCATAACTATTTGCACAATGTTATTCCGTGGTGTTTGTCGAAGACGGCTGGCTGCTTCTTTCGGTACTAAGGTGGAGAAAGAAGAAGCACGGATTTGACAGAATCCTTGTTAAAAAGGCTAAAGAATTCAATTAAAATTTTACAAAACACAGCATAACATACTTTGCTGTTAATAAAGCACAACAGTAACTAACACTGCTATGCACTTCTTCTGTCAGAAATAATATTAATTAAATTTTTCTAATTATATTTTTTGTTTAAAAAATAAAAAAAAATGTATTTAGAAACAGGTTTTGAAGCTTAATATAACAGAAAAAAGAGCAACACTTGAATTAAAAAGACAAAGATGATTTTAAAAAAGCATCAAAGATATATGTAAAAAATAAGAAATAAATTAAAGAAATGCAGCAGCACAATAAATCAATTTGCGGTGGTCATAACAACAACAATAGGAGTAATAGCACCACTCTAAAGAAGTAGTTGGATGTAATATTTGGTAAACTTTTTTTAATGACATGTATTCAATCTCTGCATGTAAACATCAAATTTAGCTCAGTGCATAAGACGTTCTCTGCCCTTAATGCCGTAAACCTGATAGAGTAAAATGGCTGAAATGCTTAAACTGGTCAAATAATCCACTGATTTCTCATATATAAAATAAATGCATCAAAACTAAGAACTCTGTTTTCTTTCTACAACCACATCAACCAAGATTGTGCACTTTGGTGCACTTTTTTGAGTAGATAAATTACAGTTAAAGGATGGGACATAAGCTTTGATGGCTTTATGGGGATCTTACTGGATTGAAAACTGAAACCTCTCTTAAAGGAGCTGCAACACATGCATCAGTCAGAAGCCGGGTTGATGCGTCACTAATTAATAAGAAGATTTATTTGAACTTTATTTATGTTTGCATGCACATAAAATGTTCATAAATCATGTCTGATGATGAGGTTAAGTCATCATTCTACTTTCCTCCTCTCTACTTGATCTGCTCGGGTCTGTGTCGGCCTTTATTTTTACTGATAAAACTTGAGCATTTTCCTATGCAGTGTTAATCTCCACAGCAGATATTCTCAAACCCCAAACCCCCAAAGAGACAGGGGAGAATGAAAATGGGTCACCGAGTCGCTGTGGAGACCGCTTTACCCTGCGAGCACTTACACGGCCCCAACGCTGCCCTGTACTTCTTTGTCTTCACGAAATCAAAAAGCTTTGCTCAGTGCACACAAGCTGCCAAACCAGAGAGCACATTTATCCTCAGAGTGGAGTGTTTATCACTTTCATCTCACAAACAGGAGAAACTTTCTTTACTACAGAGCTTTGAACAAGAAAGTTTCCAAAGGAAAAAAAAAAAAAAAAAAAAAAGACGTGCAAAAGAATTGGTGTCCCTCATCTATCGTAGGTGAAAACCGATAACGTCCACCTGCATCTTTAGAGTTGGTTTCATTCTCTTAAGTAACCAGAGCGCCTAAAAACAAAACAGTTCTACATCCATGCGACAGCAGACGGCCGGTAAGCCACCAGTGTTGATGGTGCAACCTTTTGGTAATACTGATTTCAAAAGTAATCACAATATCTCCTTCCTTTTGCAGTCAAGACAACAGGCAGAGTCGATTCAAAAGACATGCAGAACTTTCAGCTGCAATTCTGTCTCTACAAGTGTTTGAAAATCATTTATCATTTTTTATCCATGTTCCGGTTTTGTACTACTTTGAGGCTTTTTGTTGCAAAAAAAAAAAAAAAAAATCTAGACAAAATAAATTTAAGTTTCTGGCTGCAAATGTTTTTTTGCAACGTGGAGCTTTACTAAACTATAACAAACCAAAACGTACATTAAAGTTTTGAAAAAAATGTTAAACAATTTTGTTATATTCCGGGTTTGCTACTTTGATTTTACGCTCCTGTCCTTTGACCCCATGCGCTGTGGGCTCCAGGGGTGAGAGGTCAAACACAGTCCCATGCTGAAAGGAAAAAAAAAAGCTCATGTCTCAAATTCAGCTCTCTGTTGAGCCCTCCATCCTTTTAGCACTTATTCATGCACTTTTGCACACCTAGACACAAATACACACAGACAGGCAGACAAAGGGCTGGGGGATGTACGCCGTTATTGTGGTCTTCCTTTCCACTTATAGCTACTGTTGACATTATACCTATATGTCTCATAACGTCTGCGGTCACAGAGGGCAGACACCCCGTCTGTCTGCTCCATTTTCTGGCAAAGAAAAATACAGAATTACACCAGAAAACTTCCCCGGCAACCCGAATGAACTAAATCAGTTTAGTCAAAGCATTATTTTATTACTGCAGTGGGAAAATCCCAGTGATGTAGGTTTAATCTGTCCATTTGCGAAGAGTCAGTAGAAACCCCCCCCCAAAGCAGCTCTTAAATTTGCTTATTAGAGCTGCAGAGAAGCTGCTCTCCCCTCATAACAGTTCCACCCTTTTTTTTCTCAACTAAATTTTCCCAAACTGCCAAGCCTGGGTGTCCTTGCAGCAACCCTCCCCTGGTTTGGTTTACAACATGCATCTGTAGCAAAACATCACCATCAAAAATCCCCAGGCATGATCAAATCCAGCCTTCCTCTTTGACAATAGCAGCATAAAAGGAATAATTTATGGGAACTAAAAGAACCTTCCTCATGAGGACTGACGGCAGAAACCTCTGCTCGCCTCTGATTGTCTCTGTGATATTCATTTGAGGTACTTCGCGCAAATGTCCACACCGCTTTGCGTCTCATTGTTTCGACGCATGTTCTTTGAGCTTGATTCTACGCAAGCACGCTGTCAATCATTTCCTCTCTTTCTTGCAATAATCTGCAGCCGATTTTGTATTCCTCAGCTTTCCACACGTCCCCCAGCAGTTTTCAGGCTCTGATTTACGATTTCATCACAGCTCTGCCAGCCAGCCTGCAGGATGTGAGCATAACTCAGCTCATCGCCGAGCGTGTAAATAAACCAGTCATCAGTTTGTGACCTTGTCTGTCTGCTTCGTTAGGACTGAGCCCTAATGATTTCATGGTTCACACAGCAGACAACAGGATAAATATATATGTACTGCTTAAGTTTTAAACAGGGAGGCCTGAAACGCCTTGATTCTTGTCTCATTCATTCATTCAGGTGCAGACTTGCTGCCGTGATTGTGATGTTTTACCTGGAACATGTCGGAATTTTGAATTTTACAATCGCTGATGAGTCCAGATTGAGTAAAGATAAGCCGAATCCATAACCGTGCTTAGAAGATGTCTTTTGCATCTTAGATAAACATTTCCATGCCACTGCAGTTCTCATTCTAATCAGTAGAAGGTTTTGCATATAAAACATTCAACAAGTGGTGGCAGAGGGAGAAGGTGGAGGAAGTTTGTTCCTCAAATTACAACTCTGACTTCACAGTTTCACCTTCAGTGTTGGCGTGGGAATTTTTTTATTTTTTTTTTCAATGTTTTGAACGTAAATATTTCTTTTAAGACTATTTCGAACAGTCCATGTGCTTTCAAATGAATTCCTCTCGGACGCTACCATGCCGTTTTTCCTGTTTGACGAACGGTACTCGCGCCACGACTGGAAAGTTACAAAAATGACCAGTGTTTGTGCTGTTGTATCATTTATATGACATGACAAAGATGGTGAAAAAAAAAAAAAAATCCTCGTACAACTAAGCTGCTGAAACACTTTGATGCATTTTAAAGATTTTTCTTTTAAAAATAATCTTGACGTGTTTACAATGCGTTTCTTGTTGCGTGCCTCGTAGTTTGTCACACTGAAAAATTCCTGTTACATCTAAGCGACTGCAAAATGAGCCAAATTCATCATTTCCTCACCACCGTGACTGACATTTGGTATGAGGTGTTTTGTTTTCTCGCCCAGGGTGACATCATACATTATAACAACACATCACCACCTTGTGTGTTCAAAAGAAACCATGTAAAAGTCTCGCAAAAAATATTTAGAAACACTTTTAAATCCCCACTTTTTTCTGCTTGTACTGCTGTGACCCTAACGGTTATAATGACTGAGCTGTGAAGGGCTTGAGATGTCTAAATATTTTTTTCTTCCTTGGGGAAGTATTTGCAAATTGTTTCTTTGGAACTGAGTCATCCCAGCTTGCAGAATACATAATGGAGAAAATAAAAATGCATATGTAAGAACTCAGCAGGGACCAAGTGTTAGAGAAGTGAAGATGAGGCTTTTTCCTGGCTGATAAAGGTTCTTGAAGGTCTGAACAGCCAGCTAAAAATCAGACCGATTCTAATTTTCTTTCTAAAAACTGTTATACATTCAAGGAAAAAAAACAAAACATAAACTGACAATGATAAGTAATTTTGAATGCAACAGAAAAGGAAAAGAAATTAAAAGATTATTCCGATATTTATTTTTATGCAACAAAGAATAATTCACTAACAAATATCTGATTTCTACTATACTCAGGAAAGTGTATTAAACTATGTGCTATTGGTTGATGCTTTTATAGTTGAAAAGTGCATTTAATTAAAAAGGAAAAGGAAATTCAGCTTTTTGAGGACCTGCTTAATCAGAGACTGATTAAGCACAATCTGTCTGGCTCACTGATTGCTAAAACTACCTTCTTTATTTCT